TCCCCTTTTTAAACATTTTAGTGTCATGTTGGTGTTTTACGTCAAAACAAAACAAAATTGATTTTGGTTAAAATTGCTATTTTACATTCATTATAATGAATAATTTTTTGTTTTTTATTTACCTTGTGGGAAGAGTTATTGTCAAAAACAATTGTCACAATTGTCGAGAGAGAAGCCAAACCAATTCTGACAATGAATAGAGAATGGGGAAAAGGTGGAGGGGGAGGGACAATCGCGATAGAACGAAATATAGTCGGAAAATATTATTTTTTTTTAAAGATATCTCGATACGTGCCGAATGCTATTTATTCTTAAATAATATATTATATTTATTTTTTATAAACTTGTAAGTGATCGTGATAGGGAGAAGGGGGAAAAATATGACATTCATTCGTATAAGAGATATTGTTTATTTATTTATTTTTTTTAAAAAAAAGGTCAAAAAAAATGAATTTTACATTTTTAAAGTGGTGTATTATATTATAATAATTATGCGCCTTTTATTATGATTGTAAAGAGATGCGGAATATTATAAACAATATATTTTTTTTAAAGAAATGATCGGGGTGAAGGAAATTGATGATGCAAGGAAATGATCAACCAATCATGGCGTCTCTTCCGGTTCGATTACTTATGACTTCCGATTTCCGTATTAGGGCGGGTCTTAGACTAGGGATCAACCATTACCCGGCCCTTTAAAACTGTAAATCATGGGTGAAGGGGCAGGGAGGCAAGGGGTATGATGGAATCCCCCTTTATGCAAATTTTCATTAAAAACTTTTTTTTAGAGAACAGAAATTGATACCTCTCTAATAGCTATACTACCTTGCCCGCTTCCTCCTTAAAAAAAAAAAGAAAAAAATAGGGTAAGGCCCTTCAAAGAAATGACATATAATACCTATGATCCATTCATAATAATGCATTTGAAAGCGTCGTTGAATGCAAATCAGCTGTATCAGCCATTTTGGTAACCCATATAGTAATTATTCTCATGTTAAAAAAACTACTATTATAATTGATAACTTGCTTCCTTATTATCTCGATTATCAGGCTATTGTTTAATAAAGATACCGTCAGACATAGGAATAAATTAGCTTCTCGTTTTAAAATCTTTAATAATGATATGGGTAACCAAAATGGGGTCCGCAGCTGTCTTCATCGATGTACACTTTTAATGAATGCATCGTCAGTCTAGGTATTATTATATGCTATTGCTCCAAAGGGAGAGACCAATATAGACGAGATCATCCCAGAAAAAAAAAACCCCTTCTATATTTTTAGAAAAATTCTAGATGCGCCTTTATATAATTCGGGCGCGGTATTTAAGGTCTGGCCTAATTCTCATATAAATGTACAATATCGGATTTTCCTTAGGGAATCTAATTCTAAAATTTGAATCAGAGTTCTTAAGAGGAATCCCGGGAATCAAAATCCCGGGTATTGTTCTAAATAGTGTACGATAAATTTCAGTTTTTTCATCGGTTTTATAAACAGTTTCGAACCGGAACTTCGAAGTTCAAACCCGCGGCAAATCTAAGTTGACCGGAAGGAACCATTTTTTTAAAAAATTCTCAATTAATTTTAGAAATAAATGGAAATTGGATGAAGGGAAAGCGAGAAGTTATAATTTATTTTTTGTTAATCTTCCATCTTTTAGAAAACTGATACTGATAAGGTTATATCAAAGAAAATAGATCACGTGATATTTATATTCATATTCAGTGATGGATTATTAACCACCCGATCGCATTGATCGGGATCAACGCCGGCTAAGATATCACGAAAACCGCACTGGATTTACCGGAAGCCGTCAAATCGATCAATAATATCGCATTTAGCATCAACGTACAGCTGGGTAAACACAATCATTTCAAAAGGTAAAAATAATTTAATGGTCAAATGGAAAATAATCAATTTAAAAATATATTAATGAAAGATAATCGATGTTTACATTATATATATATATAAAAATAAAATTAATTAGGGCAGTAATTGATCAATTTTTATAAATATTATGTATATAGTTTATAAATACAATTAAAAAATTATAATTACATTTAAAAAAATCATTCTATAAAATATTTACGCACGGGAAAGAAGAAAAAATGCTAATATTTTAAATTTATAATTATTTAATTTTAAAAGGTAATCAATTAATTTAATTTCACGTTTTTAAAAGTTTTTTTCTTCTATAGTAATTATTCCCTTCCTCTTCTCTTTCTTCATTTCTTTCATTCATTTATTTCTTTCTTTCTTTCATTTATTTCAGGCCCGAATATTTTTCTTTTTTTTATCACCACTCATAAATCACTTTTAGATAAAATATTAAAAAAATTATAATATTTTTTAAAATCGACTCAAGCATTTAATGGTTGGTGCCTTCCTTGATTGATAAATAAAAAATTATATATATATACATATTAGTTTTTTCTTAATATATATTCAATATAATTTTTTCTTATTTATTATTAGGAATCAATAAATCATAGTTCATTTTAATATTTATAATATATTTTTTATTATATATACCATAAAATATTTAAAAAATATAGAATGTAAGTATGTGATTATGGTAGTAGTTTTTGAAAAAAAAGAAGAAGTTAAGGACATAAATCGTATAGTTAATTAAAATTATCATAATAATACCTAGACTAACGATGCATCCATAATTAATGCATTTGAAAGGGTTGTTGAATGCAAATCAGCTGGAACCGCCATTTTGTTAACCCGTATAGTAATTAATTTACGTGTTAAAAACTATTATTAAATTGATAACTCGCTTTCTTATTATCGATAATCAGACAATTCTTTATTAGAGTTCGCGTCAAACATAGGAGTAAATTGGCCTCAAGTTAAAAATTTTTAATAATGATATGGGTAACCAAAATGGCGTCCCCAGCTGTTTTTCATTGATGTACACTTTTAATGAATGCGTATTTATTATATGTCATTAATAATAATATAGTACTTCTTCAAAAACTTATTCGATATTTTATTCGTACTCGAATATAAATTAGTAAGAATTATTTGATTCAAAATATCGAATACAAATATTTCATTATTCGATCAATTAAAAACCCTGCCCGGATTTTTTAAAATCACGCCATTTTTTTAGCGCGCATTTGGCTGGTTCCGGGCTATAAAATATAGTAAATAATTGAATGGAATAAGAGATTCTTAGAAGGAGGGACCGAACAGGAGAAAGTGATTCAAGGAATATTTAAAGAAAGAAAGAAATTCGAGATAGTTTGGGGATGTGAGATCAGACGGAGTAGTAAATTAGAAATTTAACGAGAGACCAATTAACAGAAAAATTAAAGGAGCTTGGAGAAATATAATTTTTAAGATTTCTAGGAAACCACCGTCCCCCTTCCTTTTTTAAAATGTCGGAAACTCGTTCTATCAGCTGATAATTGAATCCATGCGGGGCAGTCGCCATTTTTTTTATTTTTAATTTATTTCTTTCTCCTTCCTTGTTATAGTATACCAATGTATATGAAAACGAAAACAAAAATGACGTGGGAAATTATGAGGAAAGGAAATATTTTTTAAAAAAAGAAATATAAGGTTAATTTCTCCTTAATTATTAATTACCTAATTACCATATTTATGCATATGGCGCGAAATTTCACTAAATAACTATGTGTCGAATAGCAAACAACACAAAAAAAAATGTTGAATTAAAATAACATCAAAACAAAAACTAAGATAATATATATTTTTTTTGTAAAAAAATTTTTGAACTTTTTTCTCACTCATTAATTCTAATTCCGCTGTGAATAAACGAAAAATTAATTTCCTTCGCGAAAAAAAATAAAAAAAAACAAAAATTAAAGAGATTGGAAGGACGGAAAATAAAAAATATAAGTAAAAATAAATTGGAAATGTATTTTAAATTTGTAGAAGTTTTAAAAGGGAACAGTCTAACTCGGTCCAATTCTAATTCCGCTGTGAATAAACGAAAAATTAATTTCCTACGCGAAAAGAAAAAAATTAAAGAGATTGGAAGGATGGAAAATAAATAAATGAAATAAATAAAAGAAGATAGGAAAAAATAAATTGGAATTGTATTTTTTTTAAAAATTTGTAGAAGTTTAAAAGGGAACAGTCTAACTTGATCAATGTAAGAATTAATGCGATATAAATAATGTTATTGTTATAAATTCCCAAATGGAAAATATATTTCCCATTTATTTAAATTACATCGACAACGACGTGTGAAACCGAACCCTAGGGAGTTTATTTTTTTTTAAAAAAACTAATTATTTATTACGTCAATTGTGTTTTTTAATACTTTTTTAGTTATAAAATGGTATTCAAAAAAAATGGACATTGTGAATAATCGCAAACACGATTATTCTCAGGGTTGGCAATTTGTCAATTTCAAAGGTCAATCACAGACTAATTCATATTAATACTATCCTAGAGGCAACCAGGCTTGGAAATCGCCCATACTGAAATCTTATTTTAGGCGATATTGGCATACGCCTCTCAAACATCAAATAATTTCGCTCAAATGCGAATTCCTGTCACTTTAAACCAACATATAAATAATTTTCTAGCAATTTAGTACTTAACTTACCGTCACCGGCTGCACGTAACATAAGCCTATATATCTTATTGTATGCTTCTTTGTTTACAACGGGAAATAAAATTAATATTCGATAAATAAAAGGAATAAAGGGAATTTGGGGGGGGGGGGTGCTAAAAAAACTGAAAATTATTCTGCTCATGTTTAGTAAGTAGGCCAATTGTGTTTTAGAAGTTAAATGAATGAACGGTCATATTGTAAAAGGTTGCGAAACTATAGTAGTTTACTATTTATAAGCCCGAACTACGTTTCGGAACCGGAGTTAAAACCCGGAGTTAAATCTAAGGGGAACTAAAACAGCCCCTTAGAAAAATCGTCAGAGCCAGAACCTTGCTTAGAATCCTGGTTCTAAACTCTGAAACAAAGTAATAATAACTACCAAAAGTTTATATTATACGCTGAAACTTACAAGGTACGGTCCTCAGGTACAAATTCTCGCGTATCTGCTGTTGGAGAAGACGTTCTTGGGAACCAATGGCGAATATTTGGGATAAGAAAGTATGAAGTTCCTGCGGAAATCCCGAGTCTAAAATAAATTTTTATTTTTCAATAAATAAATAATTTTCGAAGATTGGAATAGAAAATTTTGTCTAAAAAAGGGTATTTTCGCTAATATATAACCTTTGAATTCGGGGGGGGGGGTGATTGGGTAACGAAATTTCGCCTTAGCTCAAGTTCGTGTCGGGATTAGGACTTTAAAGGTCCTAAACTTTTCTACTGGGGAAGAAGCCTCGAGGAAAATCACCTTAACCTGATAACACCGACAACAAACTAAAGATTTGCGAAATAGCAAATTTTGGCATGTAGTCGCAAAACTGATGCAAATTTGTATAAAAATAAGAATTCGAAAAAATTACACAAATTATTAAGATATAAAAAAAACGTTCATTGTCATTCAAAACATATTTCAAAAAATCGGTAAATATTTCCTTAAATTTTTCTCCAATGACCATCAACAACTGATTGATAAAAAAAAGTTGAAAATGTCATTTTTATATGTCAAAAATGTTTGGTAAACGGATTCCCATTTATAATTCAAATTCAAATAGTTTTTAAAAAAAAATTCGTGCGCATAAAACCGACCCGGCGTTTTAATTGGAATATTTGACCCGACCCGAACTCTAATTTTGAATCGTTCTTTTCAGATTCGGGCCAAGTTTCGGTTTTTGTTATTTTCCGTAAAACATGACTTTAGTGTTGTTAAACGACTTAACTCAATATTTAGCTATGCAAGCTTGGAGATTTTTTGCTGATAGATGACAGAAAGGTTAGAACATCTATTAACGAAACCTTTGAGACTTGCCTAATAACATTTTGGCTAAAATCTCGACTTTAAAATCGGTTAAATTTAGCCATTTAACAACAACTAGACGATTTGAATATATAGATTGGCAGGGTGCCTTCAAATCGCTTTATTTAAAAAAAAAATTTATGATTCAAACGCGAAATTCTATCTTGTTTTTCATCGGTTCAAAAAAATTTAATTGGTCGAAAGAAGAAACACGTGTACTTTTCTTGGAATCACTCTTTGCCGTTGATATCAAATTTATTGAGGAAAAGCATAGAATAATGATGCTTACTACCTTAAGGGATTACCTATCAAATTTGTGTTATGTTTATTTTTCATTTGGATAGGCATTACCAAATATAATTATAATATATTTATTTGAAAAATCGTGATTTTTGGAAAGTTTCTGTGGCCTAGTCGGCAAGAGCGTTGCTTACTATTCCGATGGTTGTGGGTTCGAATCCCAGCAATGATCATTTTTTTTCTCTTAATCTAACTTGGTGGTTCGGTCCTTGGGGGGTGATATATAGGAAGCCGGACTCAACCACGTGATTCCGTTATAATAATATGTTAAATAATAAGGGTCTTATTACATTTTAATAAATTTTGGTATTTGGTAGTATATATCAAATAAAAATTGTAAAATCACGATTCGCTCGGTTTTGCCTTTGGTAGTAAGCATCATTAACCTCAAAAACGGGAAATTCTTATTGTTTTTATTCTAGTTATCGAAAGTTTAAGGGGAAAATACGGTAAAACACTAAAAGCTAAACGGTGATCGGTTCAAAAAAAATTTGATTGGTCGAAAGAAGAAACACGTGATAAATCCTGACAATTATTCGGAGAAACCTTTATAACATTTTGGCTAAAAAAATCTCAATTTTAAAATTGGCTAAATTTAGCCATTTAAAAAACACTACACGATTTGAATATATAGATTCGCAGGGTGCCTTCAAATTGCTTTAAAAAAAAATTTAGGATTCAAACGCGAAATTCTATCTTGTTTTTCATCGGTTTAAAAAAATTTGATTGGTCGAAAGAAGAAAGACGTGATAAATCCTGACAATAATTTTATTCGAGGAAACCTTGAGATTTGCGTATTAACATTTTGGCTAAAATCTCAATTTTAAAATCGGCTAAATTTAACCATTTTAAAAACACTACATGATTTGAATAAATAGATTCGCCCTTCAAAATTAGAACGCGAAATTCATTTTGTTTTTTTCTCGTTACCGAAAATTTAAGGGAAAAATACGATACGGATCAATGAAATGCTAAACAGTGATTGGTTCAAAAAATTTTGATTGGTCGAATAAAGAAACACGTGATTAATTCCTAACAAATAATTTTATTTCGGAAATATTTTAGATACGAAATTTTCGAATAATTTATGGGGCCCTTTAAGCTCTTTGGTAGTTAATTTATTTTTTTTCCTCAAACCCCTTATTTAAGATAATATTTAAGGCTAATAAAAAAAAACGAATTTTTTATATAACATAAATTATTTTAATATATTTTTTTTAAGTTGGTAAAAGCAAAATTTAACAAAATTAATATATTTTTTTTGTAAAAAAAGAAAAAATGTATAGCTAGCTAAATATTTTATTTTTATTAGCATAATCCCCCCCAATAATTGTTAATTAATACAATAATAATAAATGTAAATAATCTATGACTCAAGGCTGTAAACCCTCTTCCTAAAAACAAAGGGTTGAGGGCTAGGTTCTAGTTCAGTGAAATATTCCCTGACCAGGTTGGGATTCAGGGCTCGGGTCCAGAAAAAAAATAAAGACTTATAAAATTTAGTAAAAGTAAACAGAAATCAGTTTTTTTTAAAACTATATTTAGCCCTTATACCATAAAATATAATTTTATCATTTATATAATTAAAATATATGCGAATTACCATGATATCTTCCAAAATCGATATGTTAAAAAACTAAAATTTAGATTCTTTTGATGTCTAACTTTGACAGTTCATTGCAACTTGCATTTAATAAAGCTATTTTAACATTGTGATTATGTGTTTTTTTTTTAAATTTGGTACATTTAATTTTAAATAATCCAACACACAAAAAATATATGTTTCCCAAATAGTGCTGTTAAACCACTCGTTTTGAGCCGAATTTTTTAAAATCGCCAACTTAATATTTGCCAGAAAAATATTGACTAAACCTAGAGATTTCGATAATATATGTCTAGACCCTCTGTGCCTTCTATGATCAAAATCTTGCGTAATATTTTTCTGGATGAAAGTTAGCCATTTTTGAGGTTTAACAACACTATTTCAAAATATATATTATTATATTATAAACATTATCTCTATATATAAAAAAAAAGAGTTACAAAATATGTTTGTAAAAATTTCTCCCAAATTGTTTAAAAAAATTTTTCAGAAGTTTCAAAAACTTTTTCTATATAAAATCGTAAATGTTAATTTTTTTTCAAATTTTCCAGAATTATATTTTTGGCATGTTTTTAAAACAAAAAGAACGCTATCTTTTTGATATTTTGGACGTTAGTCTTAAAAAACAATTTATTAAAGTTATAAACCTAATTTAAAATTTAGGGGTAAAACTAACCCCGTACTAGCTTATTTTACCGTTAGTTAACCCATTCTATCCTCTTTCCTTCTCAGAGAAAGAAGGATTATTATCGCCGCTCCTATAATAGAAGTGATAATATTACGCGGTTTCATTAGAGCGTACGCGGATCGGTTAAAATCCGACCTAACTCAGAGAGACCGAATTTTTTCCTAAAGTAATTTATAAACCTTTTTTTTTATTTTCCTCTAGCTCATATATATAAAGTTTACTCGCTTTTCGAAAAAGTCGTATCCTCGATCCAAATATTTCCCCTTTTAATCTTATTTTTCGAGATCGGATACCTATTTATAAAATACAAATTCGGTTCGAACCCGGATATTCTAAAAAAATATTCGTATAGCCCGAATCAAATATTTTAAAATATCGGGTCGAGCTTTGTTGACGGTAAGTGGGGGGGGGGGGGGGGAGAGAAGAAATAAAGAAAATTATTAAAATTAAGAAAGTTCGATTTATCGTCTTATAAAAAAAAATATATATATATATAAGACAAAATCTTCCATCCATCTTCGTTTAGAAAAAGAAAAAACTGAATACAAATTTGTCAGGAAATTTATTATTTAAAATCTGATCTTAAAGAGTGTTAATATTATAATAAACAAAAAAAATGGTATTGATTTAATAAAGGATAAATTTCAGCGCTTTTGATGTAATGGAGAGAGAGCGTGGTGGGGAAATTAATTCCAATATTTTAACTCAAAGTATTAGTATTTTAATAAAACGAGTTGGAAATTGACATTTTTAATTGTTATTTAGATGAAAAATATTCTCATATTTCCTTTACAATTTTTTTTCTTTTTCATTCTTTCTTTCTTTTTCATATTTTTCTTTCGTTTTTATTTTTCATCTTTTCTTTCTTATTTTATTTTTATTTTCCCCTTGTTTCTTATCTTTTAATTATTTAAAAAGAAATTCTTTTTATAAAATGATAAAAAAAAATATTTTTTTTATAAAAAGGGAAATTTTTATTTTTTACAGATAATCTTCATGAGATTTAAAGTCGCCACTCGTGTCTGTAGAGTATTTTAATAAGCTTTTTTTTCTCTTTAATTCAGTCATTCTTTTCTCTTTCTTTCTTCTATTTCATTTCTTTAATTCTTCCTTCTTTTTTAAAAAAAATTTAAATTAACTCCTTTTTTATCCTCCGAGAAAATAAAAACAAGTAGTGAAATCTACCCTCTTCCCCCCCCCACCTCACACTCCTTTCAATTTTTTTTATATAAATCAGGTAAATTAATATCAATTTGGAACATATGATTTGGCGGTAAACCGAAATTTTTCATTTGCAAATATTAATTTTACATATAAATTAAATCAATAAATAATATTGTATTATTATTTAAAAAATAAAATTAATTCTATTGAAAGTTCAAATTAAATCAAAAAAATTGAAAAAAATTAATTCTTACATAAGATTAAAAAAATTCTACAAAAAAAGCACAAAAAGTTAACTGAAGTATTAATAATAGTATCAAAAAGGCTAAATAAATAATCTTTTTTAGATTAGTAAAAAAAAAATTTAAATTTACCATATTTTTAATAATCTATGATATTGGTTTAAAAGAAAGTCAGCTGACTCCCCCCCCCCCATGTTTAATTTTATCACTCGTATTAGGCCTTAAGAGATAATCCAAT